AAGCAAGCTTGTAAGGATGATTGCTTTAGACAGGAGCGGTTTGCAGTTTTGATTTGCTTCATGTGAGAGAAACATCTCTCACAAGTAGCAGTACTGCAGCTAATTGTAAACATGATATCAACCAGCTTTAAGATAACATGCAGATTATGAGGCCTGATAGTGAGCAGATGCTGGTACATCTTATACATCCCAGTGACAGGTAGATCTTTCATCCTTGATTTTAAATTGGTGTACTGCTCAATGCCCAATGCCACTTCCTCCTCAGTAAACAGAGGACTGAAGTGATTAAATAGAGCAGTGACATCATCTACACCATGAAGTACAAGTTTATTCCTTTCTGCTGGCCAACGAGTTATGTCAAATGTTTCAAAGTAGGAGATAGGTGGCTCAAAGAAGTTGTCAAATCTGTAAACAAAAATGTATATGTAAATTAAAACAATATTAGTCAGCTGGATAACCATCTAACCTAGGAGTAAATCAACAAATTAATAGTACATGAATATAAACAAGAAAACGTTCAAGATCTTTGAAATATCCTAAGTTTATCAAACGAAAAAATCTTCACAGTATATAGAAAAATTGAGGAAAATAAACATGCAAACCCAAAAATCATTCTAGTTAAATTAAATTTAAAATAAAATAAGTGTTATTGTTGCTTACTAGTATTACCATGGTATATGCAAAAAAAAGTATATTGTACATTTATATATTATTAATATTATACTTAAATGCAATTATATACATAAGGGATTTCAACACACATATTGAATAATCCAGTAAATATTTGTTTAGACGAAAATAATAAAATTGTGAATAATAAGTAATTAAAAATTATTAAACGCTGACCTGTTTGATATATCCAAGATGTGCCAATTCCTCGTCCAGAATTTGTGCAACTAACTTTAAATCCCGTCTCTGTTTTGGGCTGTAGTGATAAAAGTTAAAGAGGCCTTTCACAGTGTTCTCAAACTTGTTTATTTCGGGAAGATACATGACACTGTCAAGCACAGCGAGCTCTAACTTGTGAGCAATATACAGTGCACTGGTATAACGTAGGGTGCCTCCTCCAATATATGGGCAACAACTCCCGACTTCCGTCCTTGCATGACGGATGCGCCATCAAAATTAGCACAGACTAATTTAGGTCCAGGCTTGTCACGCGAAGTCATATTTTCCATGTTGAGATTGACAGAGTTCAGGCCGTCTTTGATCGCTTCGTACACACCAAGTGCATGGGAATGGGCCGGCGCTTCAATGCTTACCATCGTCGTTACTGGTACGCCCTTAGAAACGTAACGAACAAAAATATTTTCTTGTTCGATTATGCTGACATCGGCACTGCCGTCAGCTAATACTGACAAGAAAGCTGCATCTTGAATTTCGTGGATGTTGTTTTTCTTGATGACAGCGGCGATATGTGTTAGGAAAGCACTAGCAGATTTGTCGTTCTGGTAGTTATCGCCGATCTCTGCGCCGACTTTCCTCAACAGGGCACATTGCATCGGCATGTCTGACATCGGTTTCCCATACTTGGCAAGCATAAACACTGTGCTAAAAAGGTTGCTGTATCGTCGTAGCTGGTCGTCATTCAATTTACGCATAGCAAGCCCGATAGGTGTCGCATTTATATTTGGAGATGACAACTCGTTGGGACTTCCGATGACCTGTGTGACGTCGTCTCTACAAAAATACGCAAAGCACTCCAAGTGTGGGCGGCTGCTTTCATGTGATCGTATTGATTCTACGCGAAAAATATCGCAACCATCAAAAAAAGCATTTCGCTTACCCGACGGTTTTGCAATACTAGGATATTTCAAACAAACTTGACAAAATATTTTATCTTGCCTGTGTTGTAGCCATGGCCACTGATCGATCCATTTAGGCAAAAACTTTCGTTGGCACTTTGAATCATCATAGCGTTGGTTTTTTGACCTCTTGTCGACCTTATCTACAGTCTGATCTAAGCGTCTTTTGTTGTTTGCCGACGATGGTGACTCGGGTGCCGATGGTTTGGTAAAATACCTGACGATACTCATGGCTATGATTCGGAGATCAAGGGCTATAGACAGTTCAAATGAACCAATTTTGAAACCAAAATTTAAAAGTTAAAAGTCGTAATTTGATTGGATTTCACGTCAATTTTATTACATAAAAAGTTGCAAGATAAACCACTTCATTGGACGAAAGAAAAAATAAATGACAGCTATCACACGCGTTACTTTGGCGTAAAATAGAAACATGTTGATAATTTGTATCAATCTATCAAGGGCCGAGCTTAGGGAAATAAACATCAGCTTCAAAATGGCTTGCCCGTCGGACGAGGACATTGTTGATTTCACTTGCCCTGACATAAAATCTAGTTGCCACGGGCGTCGGGCAGCGAGAATTTTCGAGGCCTGAATAAGTATCTAAAAGAATAAAACTATTTGCAGAGCTTCTTCAGTTGGTGGTGGACTGGGTATGCCATATACAAAGCACAGTGTATTGATAGGTTAAAGCGTTATGTTCATTTATGAAAACTGTTCCTCCAGGGAAAGTTTAAATCATGTAGTGGCATTTGTTTGTAATTTGATTTAATTTAAGTTCTTTAATGTGGAAATATAAAAGCTTGGGCATCTGTCCAATCAACTTGGAAATATTTTAAAGTAGGCGACATGCTTTTGAAAGAGGTGTCAAACTATTTCTTTTTTAAGTTGTGTGGCATCACTAATTCACTACTTAGTGGATGTCGTTGTATCAGATAGTGTTTTCACAACTAAAACAATGAATGATATAATTCTACAAGGCTCAGGGGCATACTTTAAATAAATTACAGTGTTCTACTCAACAAAAGGCAAATTTATTTCTCCATGGTCTGAGTTGTATTTTTATAATGAACTAAATACTGCCTTTTAATTTGACACTGA